TTGTCTTTTTGAGAGAGGGTCTCCCTGTAGTCCCAGCTAACTTGAACTCACTATGTAGACCAGGCTGGCCTTGAACTCACAAAGATCCACCTGCCTCTGCCTCCCAAGTGCTGGGATTTAAGGCATGCGCCACCACACCCGGCAAGCCCCTAGGTTTAAGGCACAATGCACAATACACAGACACAGACACAGACACAGACACACAGACACACAGACACACTACAGAAATAAAATAGTAGAGTGGTGGCCACTTGCAGTACTGTGCGAAGTCTTTCTGGAAATCCTGTCTGGTGTTAACAAAGGTGCAGCCTCTCTCTGTCCCCACCACAAACACGTCCGTCTCATACACAGCAATGCAGGCCACTTCAGCCTTGGACTTGGCCAGTTCTTTGCACTGAAATAGAAACACACAGTGATGGATCTAGTGTTCATGAGGTCAGATGAAGAGGCCTGCAGGAGGCAAAGACGACAAAACTAACCACAACGATGGTGCATGCCTGTGGTCCTTGCAGTTAGGAGGTAGAGGCAGGAGGATCAAGTTCAAGGCCATCCTTGGCTAAGTATCAATGAGTTCAAGGTCAGCCTGGGCTATATGAGACTCCAGGATTAAAGGTATGCATCACCATACCTGGCTTAAGGATTTATTTTTAATTATGTGTAACTGTTTGTGGGTATGTGCATATGTGTGTATACGCTCACAGAAGCAAGAGACCTTAGATCGCCTACAGCTGCAACTATATAGGTGGTTGGGAGCTGCTTTATGTGGGTGCTGGCAAACTGACTTGGGTTCTCTGAAATAGCAGTAAGTGCTCCTAATCACTGAGCCATCTCTCCAGTCCCTATATTTAAAATTTTTATTATTTTTATGTGTATGAGTGTTTTGCCTGCATGTATTTAAGTGCATCATATTCATGAGATGCCTGTGGAGGCCAGAAGAGGGCACTGGATCCCCTGGAATTGGAGTTACCAATGGTCATTAGCTGCCATGTGGTACTGGGAACCAAATGTGGGTCCTCTGTAAGAGCAGTCAGTGCTCTTAACTGCTGAGCCATCTCTCCAGCACCCTCTTGCCACAATTATTTTTAAATTTATTATTAAGCTGATGAGATAGTTCAGTAGGTAAAAGCACTTGCCACCAAGCTTCAAGACCCAATTTAAATCTAAGACCCCATGGTGGAAGGAGAGACCTGACTTCCCAAAGTTGTCCTCTGACCTCTACAGGTGAACTGTGGCATGCATATGTGTGCAACACACACCAATAAATAAATGTAATAAACAATTTTAAGGACCTAGAGAGGTGACTCAGTGGTTAAGAGTGCTTGGTGCTCTTGCAGAAGGCCTGAGTTTGGTTCCTCACCTTCTGTAACTCCAGTTCAAGAGGCCCCAACACCCTCTTCTGGCCTCCATGGATGCTGCATTCACATGTGCATACAAAAAAAAAAAAGATATATGCAAAAACACATAAATAAATGTTCCAGGCCAGCTGGAGCTACAGGGAGATCCTGTCTCTCTCAAAAAAGACCAAAAAAAAAAAAAAAAAAAAAGAAAAGAAAAGAAATCTGATTTTTCAGACAGGGTCTCACTAAATAGCCACAGCTGTCCTGAAATGCACCATATAGACAAGGCTGGCCTTGAACTCACAGAAATCCACTTGCCTCTACCTCCTGAATGCTAGGGTTAAAGATGTGTACCACCATGTGCAACAAAAATAATCTTTTAAGTAATTTATAAATCTTTTAAAAATATTTTGAAAAATTATTATCATGTGGTATATGTGCATATGTATGTATGTGGCACAGCACACATATGGAGGTCAGAGGACCACTTGAGGGAGTCTGTTCTCTCCTTCTGCCATGTGGGCCCCTGGGAGTTCAGTTCCTCGATCTTGATGGCAAGTTCCTTTGCTTTACCATCTCACTGGCCTTACTTCATAGTTCTTTACTCATAGAGACACATACATACAGAACAGAAGACCTGGGAGGGGGGCCTGGGGTGTCCTTATGTCTTGTACCCCAGTATCTAGAACAGGCCTGATGTGGAAGGCCCTTTATGATTGTGGGGATAGATCTGAACCCATTCCATCTTTTTGGAGCAGGTATTTCTCATTTTCTTTTTTGTTTTGAAACAGGGTCTTAGCATGAAGCCCTGGCTGGCTGGCCTTGAATTCACAGTGATCTGCCTACTTCTGCATCCTGAGTGCAGGGATTAAAAGTATGCATCATTACGACCAGCCTCCTTTTCTGTTTGTGGGATGGAGAGGTCTCGTGTCCCAGACTGTTTTTAAACTCACTATGTTGGGCCAACAAAATGGTGCAGTGGATAAGGTACTTGTTGCCAAGCCTGAGGACCCGAGTTCAATCCGCACGACCCACATGGTAAAAAGATAGAACCAACTTCTGCAAGTTGTCCTTTGACCTCCAGATGCCTGCCATAACATGGACATGCACCTATGCATGTACACACATACACTGTAAATCAATGTAAAAGAACCACTTATACTGTGCACTCAGGATATGGTGGCACATGCCTTTAGTCCCAGCATTTGGGAAGCAGAGGCAGGCGGATCTCTGTGAGTTCAAGGCCAGCCTGGTCTACATAGTGAGTTCCAGGCCACCTGGGGCTACAGGGAAACCCGGTCTCAAAAAGACCAAAAAAAAAAAAGAACCGCTTACTATGTAGTCTTGATGACCTTAAACTCCTGATCCTCCCGTCTCCACCTCCTAATTGCTGGGACCATAAGTGTGCGCCATGACACCTAGCCTGAAGGATCCCCTAATCTGAAGGACTCCCTATCTGAAGTATACAGTCACACAAACAAGGTTTGTGTAAAACTGGAGGGGCACATCAGAAGTGACACTGAAGGGTGTCACCACCTTTGGGTTCAACAATGACCTAACTGTGAGATGCTGGCAGACCCACAGGTATCTCACCATGGACTCCAGGGCAGACATGAGGAATGACACCACCATCCTGCTGTCTGAAGGCTCCTCTCCAATGGGTAGGGTGGACATCGCTACTTGTGCCATGATTCCTGCATAAGAAGCACAGGAGATGAGTGGTAGGAACCGCCAGTGCCTTTTTGTTTTGTTTCATTTTTGTGTATGAGTGTTTTGCCTGCATGTATAAGCATACCCATGTGTGCAATGACCCCAGTGGCCAGTAGAGGGACTTGGATACCTTAAAGCTTGAGTTACAGTTGGTTGCAAGCTGTTCAACTTCGGTGCTGGGAACTGAACTCCTGTCCTCTGAAAGAGCAGCAAGCATTCATACCTGCTGAGCCAGTCCTCTAACCCCTACCCATCTTTTGTTTTTTTTATCACATAACTACAACTCTGTGAGTGTGAACTGAGTGTCCCTAAGGGGTCTGTTGGTATTGAAGGCTTGATCCCCAGGATGGGGCTGACTGGAAATGTAAGTTTTGAGAATTAAAACACCCTTAGGACACTGAGGGCCTGAGGTAGTCCATGAGGTAGTCTACCTAATCCACACCATCCAGAGCTAGGATGCATGGTACATGGAAGCAGGAGTGGGTGGTCAAAGCTGTTCTCAACCAGGTGGACCAGAAAGATCTTGAGAGAAGAGTGTATTTTTTTTATGGTGAAAAAAATCTGTATTTACAATTAGACTACGGGACTGCTTAGATGATCCCAATTTTGTTGCCAATATCCAAAGCATTTTAATTAGGAGCCAGACAAACATAGGCCTTCTCTCCCTCAGGTCTGATCAAGGTATTGACTTTGGCCACATCAGTGTCGTAGAGTTTCTTCACAGCCTGTGGCCTTGACATCCACGATGAACATAAGTGTGTTTTTGTCTTCTGTCTTCCTCATGGCTGACTCAGTGGTCAGGGGGAACTTGATGATGGCATAGTGATCAAGCTTGTTTCTCCTGGGGGCACTCCTGCAAGGGTATTTGGGCTGCCTCCAGAGCCACAGGTTCTTGGGTCGCTGGAAGGTGGGTGACGTGTGGATCTTCTTCTTTTTGTGGCTGTGAACACCTTTCAACATGGCTTCTTGGCTTTCAATGCCTTTGCTTTGGCTTCGGGAGGGGCAGGAGCTTCCTTCTTTACTTTTGGTGCCATCTTGGCAAAAAGCAAGAGAAGAGTATAAAAGGTTTGTTCTACTGGTTCATTTTCTGTTGCTGTGATAAAATACGATGACCAAAAGTAACTTAAAGATGAGTTCACTGGGGCTGGAGAGCTGGTTTACCAGTTAAGAGCACTGGCTGCTCTTGCAGAGGGCCTGGGTTTGATTCCCAGCACCCACGTGGCTGCTAACAACCATCTGTAACTCCAGTTCCAGAAGATCTGATGCCCTCTTCTGGATTCTGCAGGTATTACACAACACAGGTTCACTTACATACACACATGTAAAACATTCATTCATACACATAAATATGAAAATAAACTTTTTTTGGGCTTTTTGAGACAGGATCTCCCTGTAGCCCCAGCTACACCACACCCAGCATATGAAAATAAATTTAAAAAAAATTTTCTGGGCTGGGCGTGGTGGTGCATGCCTTTAATCCCAGCACTGGGGAGGCAGAGGAAGGCGGATCTCTGTGAGTTCAAGGCCAGTGTGGTCTACATATATGGATGGAGAGAGCTCTCAGAGAGAGAGAGAGAGAGAGAGAGAGAGAGAGAGACTAAAAATAAACCAGGTATGGTGGCACACGCCCTTAGTCCCAGCACGCAGGAGGCAGAGGCAGGCAGATCTCTGTGAGTTCAAGGCCAACCTGGTCTACATAGCAAGTTCCAGGCCATCTGGGGCTACAGGGAGACCCTGTCTCAAAAACAATTTTTTTTTCCTAAAAAGAAGGGTTTATTTTGGCTGATGGTTCCAGAGGGTGAGATACCCATGAATGATGGTGGGGATGCCATGATAGCAGGAGCAGGAAGATGAGTGATCACATCTCAACTGGAAGCAGACAGCATGAACTGTAAGTGGGACAAGGCTTTATGGCCTCAAAGTCAGCCCAGAATGACATACAACCTCCAGTAAGGCTCCACCTTCTAAAAGTTTCACAACCTCCCTAAACAGCTTAACCAACTGGGGATCAAGTGTTCAACTACGTGAACCTATTGGGAAAATTTCTCACCCAAACCATAACAGTTTGGAGGTTATTTTTGAAAATATGTCCCCTGCAGTTCACCAGGCTAACATTGAATCAAGCAGCTAAGGATGATCTTGAACTCTTGATTCTTCTATATCTACCTTTCAAGTGTTGGAATTACAGGCATGTGCCACTGTGCCTGGCTTAACATGTTGGTCTTTGGGGCATGAGAGATGGCTCAGCAGTTAAGAGCTCTGGCTGCTCTTGCAGAGGATCTATTGGGCAGCTAACCACCATTCTCCAGCTCCAGGGGATCTGACGTCCTCTCCTGGACTCCAAGTGCACTGCATTCACATGGTACACTTACATACATGCAGGCAAAATATTCATAAAGTGAAAATATAAAAAAATATGGTCTTGGGGCTGGAGAGATGGTTCAGTGGTTAAGAACACTGACTGTTCTTGCAGAAGACCTGGGTTGGAATCCCAGCACCCACATGGCAGTTAACAACTGTCCATAGCTCCAGTCCCAGGGGATCCAACAGTCTCTTCTGACCTCCGAGGGCACTGCACAACATGGGTGCACTTACCTACATGCAGGCAATACACACACACACATAAATCATAGCCAGGCGTGGTGGCACACACCTGTAGTCCCAGCACTTGGGAGGCAGAGGCAGGCGGATCTCTGTTAGTTCAAGGCCAGCCTGGTCTACATAGTGAGTTCCAGGACAGCTGGGGCTGCAGGGAAACCCTGTCTCAAAAAGACCAAAATAAATAAATAAATAAATATTTTGAAAAATGGTCTTTAACAATGAATAAAATGACAGGCATGGTAAAACCAGCTGGAACAAAAAGAAGGTATTTTCAATTGACATCAATTTGGTGACAAGCAGTAATTAAAAACCATCATATTTGTTATGTATGTAACAAAGGAGGCAGGAAACTTGTCTTTAGTTTTTTAATTCTCTTTATTATAATTATTTATTTTGTGTTGGGGGGTCAGAGGACAACTCTCTGTGAAGTCAGTTTTTTCTGATAGAGTCTCATGAGCCCAGAATGGCCTTGATTTCATTATGTAGCCAAGGATAATCTTGAATTCCTGATCCTTCTGCCTCTACTTCCTGAGTGCTAAGATTACAGGGGTGTATAACCACATCTGTCTCCCGCTTTTCAAAAAAATTTAGTTTGGGGGCTGGAAAGATGGTTCAGTGGTTGAGTGCTTACTGTTGTTACAGAGAACGTGGGTTCAGTTCTCAGCATCTATACAGCAGCTCACAAGTACTCATAACTCTAGATGCATGGGATCCGATACCCTCTCCTGGCCTCCATGGGCTCCAGCATGCATACATGCATAAACACATGCATGCAAACACACACACATAAATAAGATAAACAGATCATTTTCACTTTTATTTGTTTATATGTGTATCTGTGAGTGCAATGCCCCTGGAGGCCAGAAGAGGTGGTCGAGAATCTCTTGGAGTTGGAGTTACATGTGGCTATAAGCTGCCCAATGTGGGTGCTGGGAACAGAACGTAGGTCTTCTGCAAGAGCAGCAAACACTCTTAACCACCAAGTCATCTCTCTAGCCCTATGGTTCCTTTTATGTTGCTTTTGAGAACTATGCCAGAGCCCAAGTTGACCTCAAACTCATGATCCTCCTGCCTCAGCTTGCTGAGGCCTGCGATTATAGGCCTGTGCTACCCAGTGAAACTAAACATGCTTGACCATAACTGAGTCACCCAGAATAGTCTCCCAGGGCCTTTTCTATTCACATGAGAAGTACCAGCAACACTCATTTAATTGTAGAGTTCATAATTTTTGCTCTTTTTTGGGGGGAGGTGGGTCTTTTTGAGACAAGGTCTCTCTGTAGCCTCAGTTGGCCTGGAACTCACTATGTAGACCAGGCTTGCCTTGAACTCACAGAGATCCATCTGCCTCTGCCTTGCAAGTGGTGGGGCTAAAGGTGTGCACCACCACACCTGGTAAATTTTTGCTCTTTTAAAAAGAGAGTTAGGGCCGGGCATGGTGGCACACGCCTTTGATCCCAGCATTCGGGAGGCAGAGGTAGGTGGATCTCAGGGAGACCCTGTCTCAAAAAGACCAAAAAAAAAAAAAAAAAGAGAGAGAGTTAGGGGCTGAAGAGATGGCTCAGCGGTTAAGAACACTGACTGTTCTGGCAGAAGACCCAGGTTCAAATCCCAGCACCCACATGGCAGCTAACACCTGTCCGTAACTCCAGTTCTAGAGGATCCTACAGCCTCTTCTGACTTCTGCAGGCATTGCATGACACGGCTGTACTTATCTACATGCAGGCAATACACGCATACACATAAAATACAAATAATTAAAAAATAAAAATAAAAAACTTAAAAACAGAGTTAAAAGACTGGGGATATGACATCAGCTGATAGAGTGCTTGCCTGGCATTCATGAAGCCCTGGGGTCCATCCTCAGCACAGAATAAACTGGGTAGTACATGCCTGTGATCCCAGCACTTAGAAGTGCAAGATCAGGAATCCAAGGTCACAGTGGGCTACACAGAGTTCAAAGCCAGCCTGGGCTACATGAGACCCTATCTCAAAATAAATAAAACAAAGGTTTTTTGTTTGTTTTGGTTTGGGCTTTTTGAGACAGTATATAGACCACGTTGGCCTCAAACTCACAGAGATCCACCTGCCTCTACCTCAGGTATGCTGTGACTAAAGGTGTGCCATCATGCTTGGCCTCAAAATAAAATTTGATTTAAACACATCTCTAGCCTTCAGTTTCCACCTGGACTCTGGCTGCCTGCCTGCCCGTAAGCCTGTGGCAGAGACTGAGAGTGCCTGTGAACTAAAGCTGTCCAGACAGGCTATAGCCACAGCCAGAAGCTGGCCAAGGTTATCTGATCGTGTACAAATAAAGACCTTGTAGATAGAGGAGGAAAGTCCCTTTCGGCTATCTTAAGTGCCTTTAAATAGTCAGTTAATGTCACCTTGTATATCTGACTTAGCATCTTCATGACCACTAGCTAAAATTCTTGGAGCGTGTACTAAGCTAGACAGCCCTCTGGCCTCTACCAGCTCTAAGGCTGACACTGTGATAATATCTGAACTCTAGAATGATCTTGTCTAACGGGGTATAGAGATACATGTGTGTGATCCCAGCACTGAGGAGGATGAGGAAGAAGACTTGCAACAAGGTTGAATGAGTTCTCTCCTTCCACTATGTGGGTCTTAGGGATCAAATTCAGGTCATCAGGATTAGCAGCAAGTGATTTTACCCACTGTGCCATCTAGATAGCTCTGTGTTAGGAATTTTGGAAAGCTGGGCAGAAGGATCATAACTTCAATGACAGCCTAAGGAACTCATGAAGACTCTGTCTCCAAACAATATTGAAAAATAAAACAAACCATCTGAGCTGGGTATGGTGGGCACATGGCTTTAACCTCAGCACTCAGGAGACGAAGAAACATTTTTTTGAGAAAGTCAGCCTGGTCTACATAAAGAGTTCCAGGCCAGCTGGGGCTACAGGGAGACCCTGTTTCAAAATAAAAACAAAAACAATCACAAAAAATCCACTGAGGATTGTAGCTTAATTCCCAGCGTAAACAAATATATATGTAAATAAAAACTCCTGAGGGGACAGTGAAATGGCTGTGGTTAAGAACACTGGCTGCTCCAGCTGAGGACCCAGGTTTGGTTCCCAAGACACATATAGCAATAAACAACCATCTATAACTCCAGTTCCAGGGGATCTGACACTCCTTTCTGACCTCCACAGGTATTTCATGCATGTGATGCACTTACATGCAGGTAAAACAGTGTACACACATAAAATTTTTTTTGAAAATGACTTAACCATGTGCTTATGTGACATGCATGTGAGTCCAATGCCCTCGGAAGTCAGAAAAGGGTGTGGGATTTCCTGGAGCTGGAGTTGTACAGGTGATTGTTAGCAGTCAAAGTTGGTGCTGGGAACTCAACTCATGTCTTCTGCAAGAGCAGCCAGTGCTCTTAACTGCTGAGCCATCTCTCCTACCCACCAGGTTGTTTTTTTGTTTGTTTGTTTGTTTTTGTTTTTGGAGACAGGGTCTCCCTGTAGCCCCAGCTGGCCTGGAACTCGCTACGTAGACCAGTCTGGCTTCGAACTCAACAGAGATACGCCTGCCTCTGCCTCCCAAGTGCTGGGATTAAAGGCGTGCATCATCATGCCAGGCTCATTTAATTTAAAAATTTTAGGTATTGAACACTGCTGTCTATCTATGGCATTAACGTCTGTAATAAATCTCTTACCCAAAAGCAAAAAGAATTTTCTTGTATTTTTGTAACGTTTTCATTGACTGCCTACAGCATCAAATATTCCCAGGGGGCTTCCCATCCACCTACAGACCAGGACCACCCTGCATAACCTCCCGGATGCGACGAGATAGTGCTTGTTTACGATGGTTGGGCCGTAGACGCCCTTCAACACTCAAACAGCCAGTCACAGACCGCATCCCTGCGCCTGGGCCTTCCTTCCCTACGTCTGTGCTAGTTCATCCAACATCATGACATCTACGCGTCCAGAGCCACTCCTGAATCCCAAGCCTCAGGCCCAGCAGGTACGGCGTGACGTCAGGGGCCTAGGCCCGCGCCCTTGTTACCAGGCAACCGCGATGACAGCCCCGCCCCCTTCCTCTAGCCAATCAAGAGCTTCCATACTTAGCGCAAATGCCTGGGTTACGTCAGGGGTGCGTAACCTCAGCACGCCCCCGGCCATAGCCATTTCCCCGGCTCCACGTTCCCACCGCAGCCAATCGGAAAGGAGATTTGGCGCATTCCCAGCGTGCTACCGTTGCCCGGCAGCGCGGCTTGCCCGCCCCACCCCCACTCCTTAGGGCCTGCTCGTGGTGTCGTAAAGGGGGTTCGGAGCCCGCTTAGAGGTGCCACAGGCTTCCGCCGCGCGCCCTGAAGAGTGTCCCTTCCCAGGGGGTCTTCTGGAAGCCGAAGTTGTGAGGGAAACGGCGGCGGAGTACGCACCTGAAGGCGCCGCCAGCCGGGCCGCCGGGGATCCGAGGCCTGGGCCGCACGTACGCAGCGGGCCTGTGCGGGCGTCGGGGACGCGGCGCGAGCGCCGGCAGAGGGCGTCTGCTCGCGACCAGCCCTCCTCCTCTTAGTGTTTTTTCTTTTCTTTTGTTTTGGGGGTTGTTTTTTTTGTTTTTTTTTTTGTGTGTTTGCTTTCTGCTGTAAGGCTGGCTTCCCGAGCGCGTACGCAGCGCCCTCAGTGGGGAGGACCATTTCCGGTTCACGGCTATGGGGCTTCCGGCCGGGGTGCGTGACAGGTGCGTGGTGGGCACGTGGCCCCGCCCTGACCCCGGACCTGCGTGGCTTTTCTCGCTGCTGCTTAATATTTTTTTCTCTTATTGAATGATTGCAATTTGTAGTTTTGATTTTATTTTTTAAGTTTGGGGGGTGGTATGTGCACGTGCATGTGGAAGCCAGAGGTTACTCGGATGGTGGAATCCTCAGGCACCTTCCACTCGTTTTGGAAAGCGGTGCAATTTTTTTATCAAAATGTTTTGAAAAAATGTTTATTGCCAGGCATGGCGGTACATGCCTTAATCCCGGTGCACACACATAATAATAGTAATAAAAGGGCAGAAGCCTTTAACCCCAGTGCTGGTCGGCAGAGGCAGGCACATCTCAGTGAGTTTGAGAACAGCCTGGATTTACACAGTGAGTTCCAGGACAGTGGAGGCTACATAAGACCTTGACTGAAAAAATAAATCAGGCTGGAAAGTTATGGCTCAGTGGTTAAGAGCACTGTCTGTTCTTGCAGAGGATCCTGGGTTCCTCTGACAGTCATCTGTAACTCCAGTTCCAGGGGATCTAACGCCCTCTTGGCTTCCGTAGGCCTTCCACCACCCACGTGCGCTTACACACATGCAAGCAAAACACTCATAAAAATGAAGAAAATTTGTGTGTGTGCATGACGATAGTCTTGTTAATATGGGTGCTCAGATCCAAACTTCTGTCTTCATGATTGTGTAGCAAAGACCTTCTAAACGCTGAGCTCTCTCCAGGCCCTTCTCATTTTTTAAAACTTGAATCTGTTTAAAAAATTTTTTTTGTAAATTTTATTTTGAATTTTTGTGTATTTCATACAGAACATAATCATCTTTATACCCTCTTCCTCAATGGAACCCTCCCACCACCCACCCCACTGGAATTCATAATTCTGTCATTTGTGTTAAGACCTAGCGTGTCAAGTTAGTGTACCCAAGTGTCCCTCAGTGGAAGTTTATCCACTGGGGTCTAATCAACCTCAGTGCAAGTTCATCCAATGGTGTCTAGTTAACCTATCTAGAGTCCCTCCCTTTAAGATCAGCTCTTCCTCACCCAGCAGTAATCAGCTACCAATAAATAATTCTTCAACTAAGATTGGGGCTTGATGCCCATTTCCACAGTTCTGTGCTGGGATTTTGTGCATAGGTTTGTGTGTGTGTTGACACCATTGCTGTAATTCATATGAGCAACTAGGCATGCACACACAGACACACTGCAGCAGTGTGGAGGTTGGAGGACAATTTTCAAGAGTCAGTTCTTCTACATGTGTGTCCCAAGGATTGAACACTGGTCGCAGGTGATTTTCAGGTGGCAAGTGCCTTTACCCACTGAACCATCTTGACCACCCTCAAAACTTGTTTATAGTATGAAATCTGGAGGCTGAGTGTGCCTCTGTTCACGTTAGCTGGAAAGTGCTGCTCAATTTTCTGTTGCTCCTGTCTGTGAACACCTGGGAAACAAGAACAAGTGTCAGCTTGGAGTGAGCCAGTGCGTTTCAGTGAGAAGGCAGACACAGCAATAAGAACTGCATAAAAGGATACAGATTGACTAATTTGTTGCCAAAAACAAAGTGAATATGTGATAGGTAGAGAGCCGGCGGGAGCGAGCAGCGCAGATGGGTGAAGGCAGGTTCCGAGGCACAGATGGAATTCTCAGCGGGATATAGATTTATTTCGCACGGGACATGACACATTCCCCTCGGGGAAGGGAAAAATGTCAGCTCACAGGTTGTGAGCTGGGACTTTATATATGGGGGTTTTTCCTCTTAAGATAAGAGGAACTCTGTTTATCTTATCTTTGGAGGTCAGAGGAAAGGCAGGGAGTGTTTACTTTTTCCCTCTTAAGATGAGAGAAAAACAGCTTCTAAAATCTCTGGTTATCAGGTAGACTCTGCTTATCTTTGGAGGTCAGAGGAAAGGCAGGCTGCTTCTCAGCAGAGTTTGTTCTTCTTGACCTCAAAGGTCAAGGTGCTTATCAGCTAAGTTCCCTTTTCCAGGCTCCAAAGTCTGTAGGTCCCTGTTGGGGAGGGGGGCTGCTGCTATTTGGAACCCTAACAATATGAACCTATCAGATTTGTCTACTTAAACATAGATACAATGTTTCTTTATCCAGTCCCTCCCTTTTTTTGTGTGCTGGGGATGGAACCCACAACCTTTTGGCCCAGAAGGCCCAGTAAGCTCACTACCCCTGAACCATGTGCCACCCCCTCACTGGGGATTCTAGGCAGGTGCTCTACCACTGAGCCACACCCCAGCCCCTCACTGGGGCATTCCAGGCAGGTGCTTTACCACTGAGCCACACCCCAGCCCCTCACTGGGGGATTCCAGGCAGGTGCTCTACCACTGAGCCAGCCCCTCACTGGAGGAATCCAGGCAGGTGCTCTACCACTGAGCCACACCCCAGCCTTACTAGAGTATTCCCCAAGTTACCTATGACTAAACTATGGCCACCACCATACAACTTTTTTTTTTATGTGTGTATGTGTGTATTGCCTGCATGTAGGTAAGTGCACACATGTGCAAGACCCGTGGAGGACAGAAGAGGCTGTCAGATCCCCTGGAACTGGAGTTACGGACAGTTGTTAGCTGCCATGTGGGTGCTGAGATTCGAACCTGGGTCTTCTGCAAGAACATTCAGTGTTCTTAACTGCTGAGCCATCTCTCCAACCCCTGGCCATACAACTCTTAAGTGTGTTTAAATGTTTTCAAGAATGGGTTCGATTTTTTTTTTTTTTTTGGTCTTTTTGAGACAGGGTCTCCCTGTAGCCCCAGCTGTCCTGGAACTCACTGTGTAGACCAGGCTGGCCTTGAACTTATAGAGGTCCTCCTGCCTCTGCCTCCTGAGTGCTGGGATTAAAGGTATATGTCACCACACCCAGCTAAGATTAATTTTTTTTTAAAGCCAAACAGGAGGCTGGAGGGATGTCTCCAGGGGTTCAGAGCACCTAATCCTCTGCTTTTGCAGAGGACCAGGGTTCAGTTTCCAGCACCCACATTGGGTAGCTCTCAATTAACTACCTTCAGCCTTCTACTGACCTCCACAGACACCTGTATACACATGCACATAAACTCACACAGGCACACATACACGCACAAATAAAAAGGTAATCATTTTAAAAAGCCGAACAAGAAAAGTTGTAGGAAACCAGGATGCCAGGCCCTACAGTGAGATGAGCCTAAAACTTTTAAGTCCGGGCTGCATTCTCTGCTAAAGGGAAGGGGTGCCAAAAACAGTACCTCTGATAATCCCTGTCTAGCAGAACACTTCCAGACTGGCAGGAGAAAGCGGCCAGGTCATAAGTGCAGACTCCTTGGTCTGTGGGAAAGTGTTTTGGTTAACAGTATCTCCCTGTCCTGAACAAATAACTCAGCTGTCATTAGCTAAGCAATTAGGCCAGGTTAAAGGTTTACTTCTAAGATAAAAGTTAAAAGTTTACTATGCTTTTAGCCCTAGGAAAGAAAACATTGTGGCCAATAAATTGGTAACCTTGAGTAAAAATTTAAGCATCCTTCTGGGGCCAACTAAGAGACTATATGTCCTGTTTCTTTGTGCTCTAAATCTTTGTATATGACTGTCATATCCCACATGACTGCCAGTTCCTTGTTATGTATAAAAACCATCTGTGTTTTGTAATAAACAGCTTGTGTGAAGGAAGATGCAAGTCCCAGAGTCATCCTTACTCTGTGGCCAATCAAGTCTCTCCACCCCGAAGCCAGTAGGTCCTCCGCTGAGTAGGCATCTTGTATTTTATCAATGAATGTGTTGCTGTGCTGGATGGAGTTGATTCACTAACCCCACAGGACAGACATTGTTAAGACCAGCCACAAGGTGTGCAGTAGGCATGGTTAATCAAAAGCCACCATCAGGCCTCTGGTGATCTTGAGGACAAATGGAGTCACAGCTGAGTCCATGGGCAGCAGTGGGTCTGCCTCCTCAGGCTGCCCTGAGTCAACACTGTGCCCTGGCCCTTCAGAAGAGGGGTGCCTTCTGCTCTGAGCAAGCCTGAAACAGGCTGCATCAGGAGCACCCCATCTCTGCCCTGCCTTCCTCCCTTTCAGCGGAGTAATGCAGGGGCTGTTTCTAGGCTGTGTCCCACCATGCAGTAGAAGGCCTGCTCAGGGGGCCAGGCCCCTTGACATTTCTCAAACGTCCTGCTCAACTGGGCCGACAGGTGGAGGGGACCTTTGGGCAAGTATCTAAACAAGATCCAGTTTTGGGTCTTGCTTTATGTCCCCACCAGCTCCACGGATCCCATGCTACCCGGCTTTCCTTCCATCTGGGAACACCAATGAAGTGGCCCATCATATTCCACTTGTCTGAACAGTTCTGGGGAGTACGTGACACATGAAGAGAGAGGGATTCAAGGGGGTGATAAACTCCAAACATTCGTTCCTTCTTTCTGCCCACAAGGCTGGATGTCAGTAAAGAACTAAGCTTGGGAGTCTGTGGTTTTTGTGTACATATGTGCACAGGTGTGCTTTCAGGGGGAAGAGAGGGATAGGGCCAGAGAGCCTTGGAGGCAAGGCTAGTGCCCAGCAGACACCACCCTGCCCACCTGCCACTCTTCCCACCAGGTGAGAACAGTTCCATAGGGTCTGAGAGAAGACCTGGTATGATGGCTGTGCTGGATAGCTTTCGTGTCAACTTGACACACCTGGGTTGAGGGAGCCTCAATTGGGGAATTGCCTTCATTGGACTGGCCTGTGGCCGTGTCCATGGGACACCTTGATTGTTGAGTGATGTGGGAGGGCCCAGCTCACTGTAGGTGGTGCAGGCTGAGCAGGGGTCAGGGGAGCAAGTCAGTAAGTGGTGATCCTCCATGGCCTGCGCTTCAGCTCCTGCCTCCAGGTTCCTGCCCTGAGTTCCTACCTTGGGCTCCCTGATGAACTGTGACCTAGGAGATGTAAGATAAATAAACCCTTTCCTCCCCAAGTTGGTAGTGGTCAGAGTATTTTGTCACAGCAATGAAGGAACAAACTAGGACAAT